TATATATATATATATATATATGATATACCTCATAGTCATACATATGGGTATACAATGATCATATCATGAACCGTCAGTATTTTTATCATATTATCTAGTCATAAATTGTTATGAAGATAAATTTGATGATTTTGAATACAATTACTTCAAAGATTATATTCATATTCAATGGTCAAGTAATGATCACGTAAAATAATTTTACATAACAACTGATCAAGTATCATTAAAGTAAAAAAAATTACTATAAATAGTAATTTAGTGATTTATGATTGAATAACGATGTGAATCAGTATTTTTTTTATATCTATCATGATTTTTATTTAGTTGTAACATGTGTTATGGTTGTGATTGAAGGAACATGGGTGACTGCGAGTGCCCACATCATAACAGCAGTGATAGGATCTGGAGTGTTGTCACTTGCATGGGCAATTGCACAAATGGGTTGGGTGGCTGGTCCTGCAGTTCTCTTTGCCTTCTCTTTCATCACATACTTCACCTCCACTCTTCTAGCGGATTGTTATCGTTCACCTGACCCTGTTCATGGCAAGAGAAACTACACCTATTCCGACGTTGTCAGATCTGTCCTAGGTAAAAGAAATTAACATTTGACTTCATTCAATTCGTTAGTTGTCAGATAATATGTTTGTTAATAGTTACTACTGAAACTTGAGCATTCAACCTTTACACATGAATATAAATAAACTTGTCATTGAATGCAAGTAGCACCTTTGACTTATTTTAATAATTTGTGGTAGGGGGGAGGAAATTTCAGCTGTGTGGATTAGCTCAGTATATAAATCTTGTCGGTGTAACAATCGGTTACACAATAACAGCTTCAATTAGTATGGTGTAAGTTTCCATATATATTATCTAAACGTTGGACTAACGGTGGTACGTATAATATATGGTGTAATAATAAATTGTGTTTTCCAAACCAATTAATCAGGGCGGTGAAAAGGTCAAACTGTTTTCACAAACATGGTCATCATGTTAAGTGCTATACGTCCAACAACCCTTTCATGATCCTCTTTGCCTGCATCCAAATCGTCCTAAGTCAGATACCGAATTTCCATAAGCTATGGTGGCTCTCCATTGTTGCAGCAGTCATGTCTTTTGCTTATTCCTCCATTGGTCTCGGCCTCTCCGTAGCTAAAGTGGCAGGTAAATTAGTAGTCAAAGTATATAATCATGGTTTTGACTTTTACATGAATTTATTATAAAAATAACAATAAGATATGGTTGTGCGGTTGATGGTGAAGGTGGCGGAGAACATGTACGGACATCCTTAACGGGGGTGCAAGTTGGGGTGGACGTTACAGGATCCGAGAAGGTGTGGAGGACGTTTCAAGCTATTGGTGACATTGCCTTTGCTTACGCTTACTCTAACGTCCTCATCGAGATACAGGTAACTATATATTGCCTATGCTTTGCATAACAAAAGCCTCATGCATGCCTACAAATATAAAGCATATATGGGAATATATTTCCAAATGGAATTAACCTTTACGAATAACTATATTGCACACAGAATATATGTCACGATCTTATAAAACTACTTTGCTGTATCTGCACCATGCATTAACACAGATAGATCTACTAAATATCTAGGTGAATAAGTACATGTGAAACATTAATTTTCATACTTACATGCTGGTGAGCACTAGCACTATATATAGGTATTATTGGTCCTTTGTTCTTAGGGATCATGATTGCATGCATGCTTAATTCAAGAGAGCCGAGGCAGTATGGTAGGTAGGGTACTAGCCAATTGGTGGCATATTGGCCACTTGGCGAAGTTCATCGAATCGAAACTCTTATTTGCTATTGACTAAAAAACTTCTATTTAAATTGCTGCTACTCTATGCGGGACACACAGAGCTTAGTCCAAATTAAATTAGCGTTCCCGTTCTGATGGTAATGGATTCGTAAGGAATGTTTCTATTCTACGGGTTAAGTCAGTGAACTGAAAGATATTCTAAAAATTATCGAATTAATTGGAGAAATTAAATACGAGATGCGCAAAATTTATTTACATACTCGTGTAAACAGTTGGATGATACACTTGTTCTATTATAAGATTTTTTGAACGATCTACATCTACTCTAAAGTATAATAAATAATTTATATACTTTTTTATAATTAACATGTCTTTAATGGAATTAGATATTATATAATATTGGCACGTTTTGTCAAATACAAGTCATTCTTATTCATTAAAGTGCTAGAATCTATTCTAATCGAAACTAATGATTCTTGATCTTATCTAATTTTTTTAGTGGAAAGCAGAAAAGATAAAGGACACCTTTTTATCAAGGAAAAGATGCCAAGTCATACGGACGCTCATTATTTATTTGCACACTTTACCACTGACATGTAGCTAGTGCTTCACTAGAATTCCTTAAAAAGTGTTTATCATACAATTTGCCTTTTTAAAACCAAACTAGTAATTGAACAGTAAAACACACTAATTTAGGATTAAATGATTTATTTGTAGTTAAATTGAGATCAAATCGATAAAAGTTAAATATATTTTTAATTTATTAAATAATACATCATTATAAATATATAAAAAATAATAATTTAAAATAAAAAGGATATTACATGTTTTGCTGGATAAAATAGTTAAATAATAACAACTCACTTTATTTCTCATGAGTAATCTGACTTGAAAATAGTATTAGAATTATAAAATAAAATAAAAAAATCAAACATATTTGGGGGGTCTTATTAGTTCTTTACTAGTTTTGACCGGTTTGGCCAAAAATGTTTATGTAAAAAAGGCGAAAATAAAATCCTATAAAATTGTAGTGATACTAATTTAAAAAGGATTTCGTATGTGAACATCACTGGAAATTAACTTAAGCGAAACAAATTTGAAGTTATGAATATGGCACATTTCGAGGTGTCTGTCCATTATGTCCAAGAAGGATCACTATTCATTGGAAAGTAGTTTTTATCATCAACGACAGGCAGATCGCAATGATATTTTGCTTCAACACGTACAATAATGGGGTCTTTGCAATTGCAGGATACCCTGAAATCAAGCCCTCCGGAGAACAAGGTCATGAAAAGAGCAAGTTTGATTGGCATCTTGACTACAACCTTGTTTTATGTGCTATGTGGCTGCATAGGTTATGCAGCATTTGGAAACGATGCACCAGGAAATTTCCTCACAGGATTCGGATTCTACGAGCCCTTTTGGCTAATAGACTTTGCCAACATCTGCATAGCCGTGCACTTAGTTGGGGCATATCAGGTAAATAACTTGAATCATACATATTTCCTACTTCTGCGGTCTATGGCATGCGTGCATCGTGTTTTAATTTTATGCTGTATTTGTCAGGTCTTCTGCCAGCCCATATTTGGGTTTGTAGAAAACTGGAGTAAGGAAAGATGGTCCAATAGCCAATTTGTAAATGGGGAGCACGCTGTGACCATTCCATTATGTGGAACCTACTATATGAACTTCTTCAGGATGGTGTGGAGAACAACATATGTCATCATCACTGCTTTGATAGCTATGATGTTTCCATTCTTCAATGACTTCCTAGGCCTCATTGGTTCACTGTCCTTTTGGCCATTAACCGTTTACTTCCCCATAGAGATGTACATTAAGCAAACCAAGATGCAAAGGTTTTCCTTCACGTGGACATGGCTCAAAATATTGAGCTGGGCTTGCTTGATCGTTTCGATTATCTCAGCTGCTGGTTCCATCCAAGGCCTCGCTCAAGATCTCAAGAAATACCAACCCTTCAAGGCCCAGCAATAATAAATTGTTCCAAAGTTCTGCATTGCTTTCTTTTCTAAGTCACTTTGTTTTAATAAGTTCCACCATGTGCATGGATAATGTATTGTTATCAAGTGCTTATGAAAGAAAGAACATAACACCCAGCTGCATTGTATAAATGTCAAAAGAATAATTCCAAGATGTATGAAAGTTTGCAATATCATTTAATATTGTCATCTTTGGTACAGTTACAACATTTATCCACTCGATTCAGGGAAGTATTCACTAAACTTGTATCTGCATCAAACGCATGTAAAAAGCATAGTCAAAATTCTTGAAAGAGACGTTATTCAAATTCACTAACTGGTCAAGAAATCCTGTAATGGAACAAATATAATGAAGTTGCAATCAACAAATATCTCTAACCTTGATTCATAAGTCAGAGGAAAACAATCTAACCTTCAGATGGCAAAACCAATCCATGAAGAACCAGGCATTTAAATCAGAACGCAGAGACTTCTTCCAACAAACTCCATTTCTCAACTGTCCTTTATATTCTAAGTCAATCTAGTCCAATAGGAATGTCCAACAATTGTTCTGCATGTTTATTTCCACAAATATTATAAATGGAAGAAATCAATAAACCAAATTCTAATATGGTCGGTTCTTTATTTAGTAACAAATGCTCTTTCGATAATCTTCTTTCTTCAATAGCAGAGCAAATGCTCTAATCTTTCTTTTGTCATTCCCTCTAAATCCTTTGAGAGTTGAAACAAACAAACAAACAAATCCCCAATGTTAAAGCTGCAAGGCAAGGCTTGGCTATCATTTTGTGATTCTGTTTTTACTGCAATGGGTGTCATGGAGGAGAATAACACGATGCTTCTCTTTTATCGATATTGTTCTTCCCCATCATGCAATGACACTTATGCCCATTCTACCAAACTTTTTTTGGACTGGGTCGTATAAGTTCAATGGTAGAAGCACAAATGCATGGTAAAATAAGATAAATAAATATTCTTGCATGTCCAAGAGGAGTAAAGCATACACAAATTTGCTTGAGTTAAATATGTCAAGAGACGTTGGAAACCCCTTTGACTGCTTAACTTCTACAAGCCACAAAATAGAGCTCATTCCCTTCACCTAAGCTTTCTGTGAGATTGAAAGGCATACATCTTGGACATGATGAGAATCTTTTAAACATGGGATGCTACGTTGTATTGATAAGGGTTCGGGTTCAAGATACAAAAATCTAAGTTCCGAGTGCGTTAATATAAATTTTAAAAACATATATACATATATAAATAAAATTAATATAAATATAACTTGATTGTATAAATTATATTAAAAAAAAAAAAAAACACTATACATAATTTATAACAATTTCAGTCTCATCGTTTCCTTGCCCAGTAAAAAAAATGTCTCTAAAGCCAATTCATAAAGAGAAAGAGAAGCGACATCAAGAATATTAGTCCAATTAAATGATTATCATTAATCCCCACCAATATCTCACATCTTACTCTTACCCTCATTGTAACTTATTCTTTCATGAGATGAGACAGATTTTTGTGTATAAAAACTTAAATTCTTTAACTCTCTTAAGATTGGGCCTATTTCCTCGTATAGAATAGATAAATATGAACATGTGTTCCAATTTCTCTCGCAATGAAAATACCAAAGAAGGTTGTGAAAGGAGTTTCATCGCAATGGATTTAAGTTCAGAAATTGCAGCACTGTATATCTTTCGACCTATCTTTTAAGAAATCAAATTGGAATCAATTTCGATCTATCTTTTAAGAAATCAAATTGACCAATATTAGTATTTATCGGACCTGGGATACGAACCCAGTACATACCCAAAATACTACTTATATATACCCAAATTAAGTACCCATTTTTTTTGTTTGAAAAATGTTTTTTAAATATCCATGAGTACCAGGTACAGGTATATAAAATCCCATAAAGGCAAAGCTGGGGTATAGTCATATTTCTACAAGATATATTTTACAATTTATACCACATGCCTACTAAATATTGCATCATGAAGAAAATTAAGCAGAAAAGCTGAATTACAACTGTCAGCCTAAAGAAACAAAATGTATTAGTGTATTACCCAAATAGAGTATCAACCAGACTCCCTCTCACTCATCACAAATGCCTGAATAAGACTTTGGGCAGCATGAGTTTGCTCTGGGGTTCCAGATATTATAATTTTTGTTTCCACAGCTCCAGGCTTTGGATCAGTGATAGTAATATTTGCATCAGAGATCTGTGTGGATCACATAGTAAATGTCAAAATCATCAATTATACAATGATTTCATCCATAATCACACCATCCAACAAATTATGTTCCAAATAAAATAGAAAAGGGGGGTAACATACTAATTTGCAACAAGATTTTCATTTTTTTTTTTCACTTCTACCTTGTCTATTGGGGCCAGGGGTTTCTTTATCTTCAATGACTAACAGGCAGAAGAAACATGTACAGTTTCTCACATCAACAACACCAAAGCATTTCACAGTGTATGACAAAGAATATAATACCCCAAAATTCTGATGTCCTATCAAAATATTTGAAGTTTATGATGGATTTGAGATGTGAAGTCAAAAATTAGTGATAAATAAATAAATAAATACGTATTTTGTAGGATAAGATATTTTAGGGTTTGACAAAGAAAACTTTAAAGATTTTATATTATTTTGAATGGATTTTCATGTTTTGATTGCTGAGTTTTGAACAACAAGAAGATTTAAAACTATTTAATTGATTTAATTTGAGAAAATTTTTTATTAGGAAGTAAAAATTTAAGAGTATTAGGTAAAAGAAAATTGCCAAAAAGACCAAATTTGCTTTAAGTTTAAAAATAAAGAAACTTAATTGAAAATAAATAATAAAAACTTAATGGGACCAAAATTTCACATGGTGCAGACTAACGGAACAAAAATGCAATTATGCCTTTTATCTACAATGTTGAAAGATGTCCCTTTTGTGGGTTCCTTGAGAATTTGTAAACACACGAGCATATGCAAGAAAATATTAGTGCGGGTGTGGATGTATGAGTGGCACAGGCAACTATTTAGAGTGTAAAGCACAAAAAATAATCTAACAGACATAAAATCTACAAAGTTAACATCATAAATTATCAGACGCAGTGGACTCACCTGAAGTATTTGTTTCAGACATTCACCATCTTCCCCATATATTACAGGCACCAGTGCTCGAGGAACAACAACTTCAACAGTCGTACTTGTGATAATTGGTTGGCTCCCTCTGCGTGGAATAAAAAAATCAACAGTATTAGATAAAGAAAGAGGGAACATAGAATTTCAAAACTAAAAACAAAATAATAAAGAAAATAAAGTTATTGACAGTGATACTGTGATAGACACACCCTGCAAATGCTGAAATTCTCCTGGGAGGACCTCCTGGAAAGTCTGGCATGCCAATGGGTGCACCACCTTCAAGTATCCCCTAGAAACCAGATATCCAACATAGGTAGGCATATCAGTGTGTAAAATGAGCTTTTCCTTAAAACATTATGGTTTCACATAACTAAAGATTGACATGTCATTACTTCTGCAATTTTACATTTGGCAGAAACAGAGCGGCTAATATGGCCTGGATAATGGGATATTGGCCCAAAGTCCAGTCCTCTTCTATTGACCAATATTTATCAGAACAAGGCTTCTATCAACCTATCGCTGAATCCTGTCAACTGCCCAGTGCCTCAGGATTTAAAAAGAGTAAATTACATTAACACCTCCATAGCTTCTATATTTCTCTCACTGTCTTTTTAACATTTACAGTAACCTACCTTACGGAGGTCACAGTGTAATGTTCTTCAAACAATTAAGGGAGATTAGTGTAGGGGTAGAAAAAGTAAAGGGTGTGTGCAATCTCATAAAACCTCAAGGTGTGTCTATATAAAAAAAAAATAGTAAGTGCCTGCCTAGAATTGATCTATGTTGCAACTTCTTATGCTGTATATGTAAATAAACAGATAAAATATAAATTTTAAGACTGTAACTATTCTATAAAATTCTTGTTAGATATCTGTTTAGAAATCACACAAATCACAATTGAAAGAAAACCCTTATATAATAAGAACCTTTAAACAGTTTAGAGTTTAAAAGTAATACAACACCTACACTTGAAAAAACCCGTTTTATCAAATATATTATATTATTATTAGATACACATTTATTTTGAGTTTTGACACCAATTAAGCTTGTTAGATCACTCTTCCGGTCCTCCGTCCCTCTTATCCATTTCAAATTTAATTTTAACAAGACTAACTTAAGCATCTAGCGCAAGGAGTTGATTGTAATTTAAATGACATGTAAATATGCTGCAAAGGCAGAGGTTAAGCCAAAATTAGTACAAACAGAGTAATAATAGTCCAAAACCTGAGGACCCCAAGGCTTCCTTTCAGATATGTGAGGAGGAAGGCCGGGTCTATGTATATTATTCAAAAAAGGAGGGCGGTCATCAAGATGAAAACCCATATGTGGTGGTGGAGGCCCTAGGTCAGAATACATTCCAGGAGGTGAAAGTCCACGCCTTCCTAGATATGGTGGAAACGGAGGGAGTTGATCCAGAAATGGAGAATTCAAAGGATAATTAGCAGATGGATATGAATCGCGGAAGAAATGATGTTTTAATCTAGTGGTTATTTGCAAAAGAGCATCATGCACTGCCTCAATTTCTCCATTTACCTGTCAGAAATTAAACAAGTTGAGCAACAATGATGTGAAACATATATTACAGTTACTCTTTACAAGTTTTCATATTTTAAAAATAATTTTTTACATTTTTAATACAATAAAAAAATTTCTTTGTATATATATATGTAATCAAAAAAACATTTAAATATTTATCTCCTATATAGTTTAACATCAAATTTTTATATGATATTCATAAGAAAAAAACTTCTTTCAAAAACATTAAACACAATGAAGCATGATCCATGTGGTTTCTCAATTATTTTTTCTTAATGTTTTCTAATTATTAATTTTTTTATGTGGTCTAATTATAATATGCATTACTTATTACATTTGAAGTTATATCCAATGAAGATTATAACCAATATAATACATGTTATGTAACAATTAGTTTGACAATTCTGTAAAATAATAAAATCAAATGCATGAATGACTATGAGAATGTTTGGAAACCCATTACCTTTTTCATATTTCAATGCAAAATGTAAAAGGAGAGAAAGAGTTGAAGTTGAATGTAACGGATATGCCAACACACACTATAGCATACAAGACCAAAAGGGTTAAAAAACAAAAATTAAAATTAATAAAAATTAAAAACAACCTATTTTAATAAAATAAGTTATGACATCTTTAACAAGTATAGAAGTAATAGATTTTTCAGTCAAAAAAATACAGTATATTAAAACATAAAGAAAATAAATAAAGGCAATTTTGCCAAAAAGAGGGGGCAATAGTTCAGTAGAATAAAATGCGAATACATATTAATATATAATAAATTAGATATATTAAGGACAATGAAAATATAATAGTATATATAATGGTGAGAAGAGTGAAATTTTGTGTAGATCTATCCCTGGTTTTCCATAATATAGTGGTTGATTGGAGGAAAATAGAGGGAGGGGATAGATTTTTATAAACTTTTGTTGTTTAGTTCTACTTTTAGGAGGGGGGAGCAAAACCCCTCCTCGTCTAATTTTAGCTCCCCCTCCAATATTGCAGGATTAGGACCAAATAAAAAAAGACCAATCATTCCTCCCCTCCCCTCCTCTAAACCAAATAAAACTTCTAGCCCCTTTAGTAATCCTCTCTTCCCATTCTTTGAACTAAACAAACCCTGAGAAAACAAAATTATTCTGTCATAAATTTAGGAATCCATGGAGAAGAGTTTAATTTGATCTAAATAATTAGATGATATCAGCATTATTATGTAAATAATAACCATATGGGATTAAACGGAAGATTTTAAATTTACAAAAATATCAAAGTCAATAAAAACTGCACCTGAATTACTTCTTCATCTTCAGAAGCACACTTAGGAACCTTATCCTTTCCTAATATACGAATATGGGCCCCTGATTTCTTCCTCATTTCAGTTATGATGGAACCACCCTTGCCAAGGAGACAACCTATTTGATTGGAAGAAACCAGAAACCTTGCTAATATAGTATGCTCTTTGCCATCAGGTATAGCCTTGGCTATTCTAGTTTGCACACGAAATACAGCCTCTTGCACCGGGGATACTCTATCATCTGGGTGCTGCAAATATTAATCTAACATCAATTGAAAACAAATGTGGTTCTATAACAATAGCAAGATGGGAAAATGGAAAACTTGGCACCATACCGCTGGACCAGATATAACAACAACACAGTCTTCTGAATCTGGAGGGCCTTCTACAACCTTGATTTCACTTGCTGTCTCTTGCTGAACTGACCTTATGATTGCCCCACCTTTACCAATTATATTTCCTACCCTATCCGCAGGACACAATAAACGAAAAGTAAGCATTTCCTGTACAGGCCTTGTGCGACCATGGATGGCAGCTTCATGAAATTTGGTAATCAAAGGGGGGGCAGAATGAAAAGAAGAAATATCATGAGGCCCAGCAGGAAAAGAACGGTTGTGTGATGGGAATTGCCCAAATGAATGAGTTGATGGCCCTGTAAAATTTGCAGACATGGACTCGTGATCCCGAGGTGGATTTTCCAAGAGCTGTTGAGAAACAGATTGAAGAGCTTTCCTGACAACTTCTACACCCCCTGTGATCTACATCATAGCACACATATGTAATTAATGTTTAAAGGTAAAAAGCATGAACAGGTCTTAAAATGAGTAACTAATAAGCACCAACATAGCAGCTATAGAACCCCTTTTCTGCACATCAGCCAAGAATTATATGTCACTAAAATGCATAGATGCAAAACACACATACAGTAGCAATGAAATTAACTCCTGGATTTCAACAGATAATTAACCACATGTTTGGATATGTGGTGGAGTGTCCATAATGCATAAAGCAACAAAATTTTGCTTCAATTAGAACATGAAAACATAATCAATATCCTTTAGCGTAAGGCCACCCCAAACACAATAAATTAAAACATAATCAATGTTGTTTATCGCCACCCCAAACACACTATAAATAACATTTGTCAAAAGCAAACATTTCAGCATGACATTTTCTACTTCCAACAAAAGTCCCAACGGTAATTTAACTAAATAGAGCTCCCAGCCAGTTGATTAAATCACACTGGACCAAAAAGAGATAACAGTATTCCCCTTGTCCCCTTTCGGTTCAGTGTCACAAACATTTACCTGCACTGTCTCATCAGAAGCCGTTGCACACGCCGGAAGTTTGTCCTTAGGAAGGATCCGAATCTGTGCCCCGCTCTCAGCTGCCATTCTCTTTATCACACTGCCACCCTTTCCTAGGAGGCAACCAACTTGAGTAGTAAGAACAAGTAACCTAAGAACAATGCAAGAAGATTTATTGTTTTCTTCATCCCCCTCAGTTGCCTCCTCTACTCCCTCGACTATCCTCTCAAAAACCAGTGAGATAGCCTTCCGAATAGCCGAATTACCCTTCTCGGAATTACCCTTGTCACTCTGCGAATCTTCCACTGGAACAGAACCTTTAACTTCATTACCATCCCCATTGCCACCATCCTTCTCCTCCTCATCCTTCCCCTCATTCCCAGCCTCATCCTCATTAACCTCCCTTCCCTTCCCAGCAGTATCTTCTTCAGCCTCTTTATCAGAACCTGATATAGTAATAACCCTTTCATCGCACCCAGACACAGCTTCCTCAATCTTCACCTTCACACCGGTCTCTTGGCGAATTTGCGATATGATAGCACCACCTTTGCCAATAACACCACCTATTCTAGAAACGGGACAGAGCAAACGGAACACCACGCTCCCCGGAGAAACATCCAACGGCGAAAAACCGCCTGAAGATTTTTGGCGTTTCCCTTTCCCATTCGACTCCGCATTTGGCCTCTTAGAAGACGCCATTGCAACTGGCACAAACGACGAGACTAATATATCAGTTTAACGCAACTCATCGATAGAATCAAGTAATGTAACTACGAAGTAACAAATCGTGTGACCTTATTCAATCATGCGAGTATGTGAGGTTATACAATTTAAATAGAGAAATAAACGAAGAAGAATGAAAGTTTTAGTGTCGAGATCTGCGTATGTTCCATACCTTGGAGATTCACGCGGAGACAAAACAGCGACGGCCTCGACGATGAAGAGCAGAGAACGACGGAAGACGTTGGAGAAGAATTCTTTCTCCACCCTTGCAGTGTGACCTAAGCAGTAAGCTCTCAGAACAGAAGTTAGAAGTGCCAACGGGCCACTTCTACTCGTCCAGCCCAAAATCATTAATTGGGCCCCCACTTTTACTTGCTACATACATTCAGCCTAACATATCATTTATATTTATTTTAATATTCTTTAATCTCTTATCTATTCAAATATATAATTTCTCATATTTATTTCAATATTCCTTAAAAATATTACCTATAATTAAAAATAATTTTGTATTACAACATAAAATATTTATCATAAATTTAAAATATAATTTATATTCAAAATTATTTATTTATTACAAATTCTAATGCATCATATAGTCATGAATATTTATTATTATATATCTTATAAAACAAATAATTATCTTGTATAGTGCATAAACTAAAATATTAATTTAAAATTTAATTGAATAATATATATAATTTAAAATAAATTTAATAAAAAAAGTCAATGATTAAGGAATCATACTCTTATCCATACTTTAAAAAACTAGGTAATCTACCAAATACCAACTATCTTGACTCGTGTTAATTCACACACATGTATAACTATAATTATAATACACTATTTTACATCTCACAATTCGAAAACATAGTGCAAGACTGCAACTGATAACATATCCAAATAAAATCATAGTACACTTACACGATGTTTGTTTTAAATGATTTTAAGAAGAAAATTGTATAAGATGGAATAATTTTCTTGGTTGTAAAATGATGGACGAGAGAGTAGAGAAGGAAAAAAAATTGTGCGACTCATAATTAAAAAATAAAAATCTCAACCGTACGAGAGATTTTGTAGTAAAACTTGCCAAAAAAAAATTATGACTCTCTTAACAATAATCTACTTCTTTTTTTTACTGAACTAAAAAGTTTAAATGAATTAAGTCTTGAAACCCATCAAGATTAAAGCAGATCTAAAACTCTTTGAAAACTTAAAAGAGATATTTACAAGCAAGAGTTTTACATTAATAAATTTACATCTTTTTGGGATATGAGTGTGTTTCTTATTAACTAAATATACTTTGTTAATATTTTTTTCTCTCTTAGAAATATATTCACTTCTCATTCATCATCTCTTTTCTCCAGCTTCTCACTAATGGACTTCATTCTTCTAAAAATCTTTCATTATCCTAGAAAACATTAAGGTGAGATATCAAATCTTACAAGATCAAGTAGATATTTATTACAACCTTTTGGCCACAAATGACAACGAAAGCATCTGTCACAAAAGTGATTTATAAATGTTCCATAGGGAACATCTTTGAAACCATAAAAATAATTATGGCAGAGTGTCTTGTTTCTTGCCACTTTTTTGTTTTATTGCATTTGGCATGTTCAAACAATCGTTTTGTTTGATGCTTCAAGCATATCAAACAATCTTTCAGTCCAGATTCTTAATTAAAATTCACCATTATTGACACATATGCCTAGTTTGCAGGCGTTAGATCAGAAACCAAACCACCAATATATACAGCTGTATACAATTAATATTTCATTTCAATCTCATCAGGTGGATACAACCTTGTGGCAGTGTTAATAATTCTACAAAACCGTAAGTTCAATTTTCTGCAAATTAAAAGTTGTTTGTCATGTAACTGGTCACTGTTGATGAGATAATGGCATGTCTGGGAGGACATTTTATATAAAACGCGAATGTCAAAATATTATAGGATTTTAAGATGCTGAAGCCACTTAAACTTGGTGGTTGTAAGTGCATTGCATCGAATTAGTGAAAAGCATGGAGGCATAAAACTAAGGCAATTGTGTAGAGTACTTGCAGTTGACTTTGGTTATGGGTTTTATTGGTATGAATATTCTTTACCCTAATCCTTTCGTTTCTACTGTGAGGAGTGTCGAATCAGAATGATAGAACAAACCAGGTGACCCAAAAGCAGTCATGTCCACTAGTATATGTGTATCAAATCAATTTTTCTCATTCACATCATTGCACGTTTCTCATTCATTGCCATTATACGCCAAAAAGTTGGAACTTTGTCTCGCAATATCACTCAGCCTAGCCCACCATTTTGGTCACATGCTACTCGCCAGAATATTTGGAACTTTCTACTTTTTTATTTTTTTTAACCAAAGCCAAACTTTGTAATTCTTAATCCTATGTAAAACTCATAATTCAGCATAATGCTGTGAATATAATACAAGATCAACCATACGAGTCTTAATTCAAACGAGAGATCTATCTAAACCTTGGTTTATCCTAAAACTAGTGAAATTTGAGTTTTAGAATTTTAAAAAATTATCACTTGAGCAATTTCTTCTCACACGGCTAAAACAAGTTTAACAAAAAAAAAAACAGTCTGGTCTAGTGAGGAAACTAAATATATTATGAATACAAAATTTTTCGATTTGAAACGAGTGTTAAAAAGTGAGTTATGATGTAATTCAATTTTATAAAATTAATTAAAAAAATTATTTTCACTCATATATATTATTATAATCTTATTTTTAATCTATAACATACACTCGTCTTATTAATTATTTGACATCTTGAACTTAAAATTTATAAGATTAAATATTTATGGATAGCCAAATAGTGACCATAACGAGTGGTACAATAGGTCTGACAACATTAATAATCATTAGCATATATGTTTTTATATCATATTAAAAAATATATCTAAGTCTAACTTAATCTTACAAAATTTACTTATAAGATGAGAAATATTTTTCAGTTACATATTATATTATAAAATTATCTAGTTAATTTGAGATGGTAAGATTTATTATTAACATTTTTTAACTCAAAATGTCTTAGAATAAAGAATCATATGCTAATATATTGAAATATTAATCTAATCAAAGAAATTTAATTCTCACAACATAAAATAAAATAATATATATATA